TTTTTTGGAATTTCTTTAATACAAGTTTTACTGAAATGAATGGGTCTTCTCTGCAGCATCTATTTATTTCAGAACTACTTTTATTGTGTTAATATATTTTTATTGATATTATTATAAACTGGCAGTATATTTAGGATAGCACCTTTAAAAAAGAAGTCATTTAACAATAAATTTTTGGAATCAGGATTATTTTTTGTTCCAAAATGTCTCTTTCTATATCTCAAAATTTAAAACAGTGTAAAGAAAATATTCAAATATTTAGGACTTCTGTATCAGAAACTGAATGATGTGGGCAATGTTCTGCCTATTTAAAGTGACCTGAAATTTATGAGGCAGTATTTTCTTAAGAGAGGTAAAGGACAGCCCTGAAAAGAGGCAAATCTGAAAGAGATTCATAAGGATTAAAAAAAAATGTTTATGTTTATAACTGCCTTACAAAGGAAAACTCAAGAGCAAAACCCAGAAAAACTGTATATTCTAATAAAAATATCTGAAATCAGTATATATAAATGTATTTCCCTATTTTTCATAGGACTGTGAAATGCTGGGCATTTAGTGATCATTTGTGTGAGAAAAGTTAAATGATCAAAATAAAGGACATAAAAAGTGAGTTTGTGAAAAATAAATCTAAAAACAGCTTTCTAAAGCAAAACTCTATTCCTTATAATAAAAGACATACATTCACTGCACTTGAAAACCACCTCAATTACTTAATAGTGCAGGGATAGATAATCTGAAGAGATTTCCAAGCCTCCTTTCTCCACAATAACTGGAGCATCGCATCTCCCGGATTTTTCCATGATTAACTCCCCCCCCCCCAATAGAAGTTAATAGGTGAATTAATCACTGATAAGCTTTAGAAACTTTAAATAAATAAATAAATCAGGGAGAGAACTTTCATTATCTCCTTAAGTTAACCATGGCTGCTATGACCGTGTGATAAATAAAAAGTGTGATCCTAAGTTGCACACAGTTTGTTTGTCTTAAGAGTAGAGAAATCAGAACTAGCCTGAAACATTTGATTGCTCAAAGAGGCATAATATCTGGAGTCATAATATCTTCAGATATTATGCTCAAAAAGCACAATATCAATACCTTGTTGATGATCCAAACTCTGTCAAGGACCTTGGAGTACTCATCTTTAATGATCTAAGTACTAGAGGCCACTGTAACTACATAGGCAAGAAGGCAATAAGAGTTGTTAACCTAATCCTATGTAGCTATTTTTCTGGTAATATCACACTACTAACGAGAGCATACAAAACATTTGCTAGACCAATACTTGAATACAGCTCATCAGTCTGGAACCTGCATTACGTATCTGGTATTAACACAGTTGAGAAAGCCCAGAAATATTTCATAAGAAGAGTTCTCCACTCCTCTATTCGTTGCAGAATACCTTATGCCACCAGATTTGAAATTCTAGACCTAGAAAACCTAGAATTACACCGCCTTCGGCCTGATCTTAGTATTGTATATAAAATTATACATTGCAATGTCCTAGCTGTCAATGAATACTTCAGCTTCAACCATAACAATACAAGAGCACACAATAGATACAAACTTAAGGTAAACCGCACCAAACTTGATTGCAGGAAATATGACTTCAGCAACAGAGTGGTCAATGTCTGGAATACTCTATCTGACTCTGTGGTTTCTTCCCCAAACCCCAAAAACTTTAACCTTAGACTGTCTACTATTGACCTCACCCCTTTCCTAAGAGGTCTGTAGGGGGCATGCATAAGCGCACCAACATGCCTACCGTCCCTGTCCTATTTCTTTTTTAATTTTCTTATGTGTATCAATTTCATGTATCCATAATTATGTTTATGCTTATGTCTGTTGTCTTATAATTGCTTGATAAAATAAATTAATAAAAATAAATAAATAAATAAATATCTGAAGACAAGAATAACAAACTATACTGAAAATGGATTGGAGTTTTGAAAACAGAAATTAGTAAGACATGTTTCAGTACACAGCTAAGGACATCAATACTAAGCCTACTCATTAGAGATGTATATTTAAGCTTTTTTTAGGTGCTAAGAAATTGTTCTACAATGTTCAGCTTCAGCTTGAAAACTCTAACAATATATAAGCATGGATTTGCTCAGAATGAAATGTTTTTAAAAGACTTGAGGGAAAAAAGTAATATGACAAAGAAAGCATCATTTAAGCGATTCCTAACTAAAAAATTCTCCAGAAGGATTTACTGCTGTTTGAAAATAATTTTCCTTCACATTTATGAAAGGAGCCAAAGAAGGGTTTCTAACAATCCCTTTGGGTCTGGACATACTGATATATGTAGGGATAATCCACCAGATAAACCATTGCAATGCAGAGCTTCCCCAATTATTATTTAGGAACTGTGTGTGGCGTATACATTGAAATCTTCCAAAGGTTGCAGTAGTAAGATAAAAGACCTTTATTTTAAATAGGTAAAAAGTAATTACAGTAATTTTATTATTAATTACAATGAAATAAATTTTATCTTTTATCCATACAAGATTTTTGTCCTGGCTGTAAAGCATTGACATCTTGTGAGATGTAAAAGATATGCTTTTTTTTTTTTTGTTTGCAGCTGTAAACAAAGCTGTAAACATTGAGACTTTGGAGTACATTGCAGTGATCCGTTCCTTGATAGCTTACTCCTGATTGTCTGATACTGATTACAACCCCCAGTGCATAGCTATGTATCACAATTCTTTATTTAATTATTGTATAGAGTTATAATACTAAAATAAAAGACTCTTAAACTTACTTTGGTATTTGAAGCAATGTACAATTTGATAAAAATAATGGATTTCTTTTAGCATGACTAAAACTCATTACATAATGGCTGAGTGTATCTTTTGGCTGCAAAATGTTTCAGTTTTCTGCCATAAAGAATCAAATCCTAATGCCAGTTCAATGTGCTATCTTAATGCAGAGGATAAGGCTACTGAAACAGTCAGAATTATCAAGACTTCCCCAATTAAATTACATAATAACCCTTTGATTGCTATAATCTGGCTGCAGGAATTCTGGGAGTTGAAGTTCCTACAGCTTAAAATTATAGAGGTTGAGAAACACTTATAACGGGAAGCTTTCATCAATCTTTGAGGAAAATTAGACAGATACTTTATGAAATAGAATTCAAAATGATATATAGCTATTGGATTCATTGATTCTAAAGAAAAAAGAAAAAAAACGAGTAATTTGCTCTCATAACAATATTTGCTTCAGACTTTCTGGAAGTTAAAAAAAAGTTCTGAATTTACCTCTAGGCTTTTCTTACAAAAGATACCAAACATCCCATTAAGAACCAAACACAACATGTTATTTATCTCATCCACATTATTCAAATTCTATCTGTCCCTTCTTCCATAATCATCAACAATTTCCAGATTGGGCTATTCACAGAATTATTGCCCACATTTTGTTCAGAAGCATAGGTAATCCTTGACCTACAACCATAACTGGACCCAGAATTTCATTCACTAAGCGATGTGGTCATAAAATGACATGTCATAGGACCACATCGCTTAGTTACCTCAATCCCAACATTGCTGTTGTTAGGTAAATTTTACTTGTCGTTAGCCAAAGCCTCACTCCAATTCAAGCCATTCCATGCTTGGTCCCTCCAGCCCAGAGCCTCAGTCAGATAAGGGACTGTCTCCAACTGCCCCAACTGCCTTTCTTCCTCTCCCCCACCCCAATACTCTTCCTGTATCCTGCTTTGCAGGGAATGGAGCAGCCTCAGAATCCCAGGGCTATTTTGCTTTGCCAGTCCAGTTGCCTCACTACCCTGCCCTTCAATATCCATATCACCCTTTGCTTCACTGCACCGAATAATCTTTGCCATCTTCCTGCTCATTGCTAATGAGGCGTGTTTGACCTGACTGCTGGGCCCAGATAGGGCTGGCTTTGTATGGCCAAAAAAAAAAAAAAAATGGAAAACAAAACCCAAAAGTAACTCCTGAGGCACAGTATACCAAAACATATTTTTGCAAAGAACTCAGGCCTGGGCTGACTTTGAGCTTTTTTGGCTCCCACCTCCGCCAGTCCAATTTTCCATAGTGCAAAGCCATCCTCTAAAATCTTTGGATTCCGAAACTAGCCTATCCCAGTAACTAGAGCAGGCACATCTTATCAGCAAGCAGGAGCTAGAAAATGGCAAAGGTCAGTTGGGGTGGCAGAGGGCCAAAGGCCATAAATGAGATGGAAGATAGGCAGGTGGAAGAATTGAAATGCCCTTGTGGTTGTAAGTGTGGGAAAGCTGCTAAGTGCTTGAATTCCACTTCCCTGCTCCTTCTACTATATCTGTTCAGAGTTCTTAACTCATTGCTGACAGTGTTGATTATGCCTTAATCAGAATGTGCAAAATGCCCCCTACATACAGCACCAAAGGTTGCATTCTGAGGTTTCTTTGACCACCCCACTTTTTGTGTCTGTGGTACAGCCAATCAGCATGCACCAACTTGTTTCTGCTTGCAGAATGCTCTTTCTAGAATAATCAAACTTCATTGTTATTCCAGTGCATTTGAAGTGCTCAATTAGTTGCAAAGACTTCCCCTTTGACTTCTATGTTGTGGTAAAAACCAAGTGGGGAATCTAACCAGGTTTATTTTCTGTTGGAGTTGTTCATGAATAGTGCTCAGTAATTAAATATCTGAAGTTCATTTCATCATGTTCATTATTTGTGATTAAGCATAGCATGTCAAATGTCACATATTGGAAGCCTTCAATACTTTCTGGTACAACATTTGTTAGTTTAGACATATATAGACATATATACCATGTATACATAGTCTTACTGAATTACCTGCTCTTGTCTGATAAAGAACACTGATATTCCATGTGTTTTTCTATGGTCGTTTTGGAGCTGTGTTCTGTTCCTGTACAACATATTATGGCAAGTGATGAAGTGACTTTTTTTCCTTCATCCTTTCAGTTAATTCTGTGTGTTCTTTTCCGCCCACCCATTCCTTTGTCCTGTGCGGCTGATTAAACCTGGCTAGGACCCTGCAGTGGGACACAGACCCTTCAGTGCTCCAGCTTCAGTCTGACTCTGAACTTGGGTATATGTCCACTCTTGTTGTTTTGTGTTATAGTATGACTTCTTTGCATGAACTGACTTCCCCCAAGTAGGTTTTCCCCCCAGTATTATTCTCTATCCTGATTGTTGTGATTGTTATTATTAATAATTTTATTTAATTCTACTCAACTTTCCACATCGTTTGTTCAGTTCTGAAAATTTGGGAGGGGCCTTATTGTGCCAAGAAAATTTTAACAAGACTCTCTGAAAGGGTCACTACTGAGCCGTCCCAAATTTATTCAGATGTGGAGTTGTGTTGTCTACTTTCACAGAACTCTGGGGGTTGTAGATTTCTTTTTATTTCACTGGAGATGGAATGTTGAAGCAGCATGTTTGTGGAAACTATAACATGCATGTGGATATAGTCTAACAACGTGTATTTTTCTAATGTAACCAGCATGCCAAATAATTTCCCTACTATGCTTTTGTGTTCATTGCTAGTAACGTTCTTTTAATATAGTACATCAATATCTTTCCCTTTTCTCCTTAGACAACTTTATTGATATGATAATTTTGAAAGTTACAGCCAATAAATAATGAAAATAATCTTTAGTTCTTTATATTAATATTAATGTAATACTTCTGCCCTGATTGTTTTTAATTTAAAAAGTTAAAATGTTGTGGAGCAAGTCATCAACCCTTAACATCATCCACAAGGAAAACTTTTGGACACTATTTCAGTCACATAAGTATTTGTAGGAAAAACAAAATAAAATGTATAGCTGCAATTCAGAACTTTCTTTGGAAATATTTCTGTTTTGTCTAACAAAACAAAAAAGAGATGGAAGAAGGTTAATGATAAGTAAATGGTACAATTTGGTACAGTGCTAGCAGTTTGGATTCTGTAGATATTTTGTGACTCCCACCCACCTAGCCATTGTAGTACAAATTGTAGTGACAGAACATATTGTGCAGTTGCATAAGTCACAGGGTTTGTGTCATGATGTTTTAATTCTTGTTTCATCACTTGCCTCATCCCCTAGTTGCTTATGCTTATCCCTGCCATTTTATGAGAATATTTATGACATGTTCCATAGCTTTGCCAGCTCTGACATAGATAAATATGTATTATTTTTGTAGTAAGGATAGGATAAGTGAAATATAAATTTAGAAGGAACTTCATTTAATATGCAAGGGTTTATTTCTGAAGGTAATGTTAGCCTATAAGAATGATATTACAATGTACCCTGACTTGAAAAACACTATAGTGATTTTAGCATACTCTTAAAAGTATAAGTACTGGTTTATATGACTCTAAAGAAAAAAATCTAGGAGTGATGAAGAATTCATATTGTATATTATAATAAATAACGTGTTTGATCTTTTAGAGCAGTGATAGTCAACCTGTGATAACTCTACACGTTACCCCGAGTGCCCCTCACCAGTAGTCTGGTGTCCTGGTATCCTGGGAATTACAGTTTAGCAACATACGAATGCCACAGGATTCTAATCCCTCTTATATTACTGTATGGTGGTGTTTTATTCAAACTACTAGATTAAAACGGTCATATAAGAATTGGAGAAACAAAAGTATGCTTTTCTTTTAAAGGCTGAGTTGTTACAGAGTTCAGTATCCTGGTTCATGGAAATCTTTGCTAGGTGCAACATTCCAAATCAACCTGGAATGCAAATCTTGCTTCCCTGGTTTGCATGAATATTTTGCCCTATAAACTAAGAAAGAAATCAAGGGACTCAGGGGAGAAGAAATCTCATCCTGGGATAGCTGACTCTCATAGGGTTTGGGAAAGCTTGTTTCAGTCCTCAATACTATGTGTGTTTGTTCTAGCCGCCGTTTACACAAGCTTGGAATCTCCAAGATCACCCAGGTGGACTTCTTGCCTAGGGAAGTGGTGTCCTATTCCAAAGAGACCCAAACACCGTTGGATACTCATCGCTCTGAAGGTAACTTTAACTTCTTATATTTGCAAGATGAATTTTATTTCAGTATTTTTTTAAATATATGACAACAATTGATGCTTTGATCATAATTCATGTTTTTTATTAGGAATCACAAATCAACTTTTGCTGGCTTGTTTTAGAAGCAGTCTTCTCACAGTTATTTGATTAATGTTGCTTGCTGGCTTGTTTCTGATAGAACCAAGTTTTAATTAATTAACTTTCAAGCTCAGCTAGGCAACTTTCTTCTCTTTAGCTTTTTGGGGTTTGGGATAATAAACCCCATCATCCTTGACCATCACCTGCTTCTCTTTTAAGCCTTTTAATTACTTGAGCCTCAAGTAACTAAACAGCAGCTGAAATTAGGTTCTTCCTGTCTGATCATCTCTTTGAGATGGGAGGGCTGTGAACAGTAGGGCCTTTTTGGTGCCCTCATTTCATCAGTATTGCCAATTAGCTGTAGTAGTGTTATAGTGTTGTCACTTTAGAAGACCTGTTGTAAAAAAAATCATTTTCTCATTATACTGAGTTGCTTTTCCTTCTGCTCTACACTCCCTTTTGTCTGTGCATATTTTAACATGTTCCGCTCCTGCTGAGTTTTGGAATTTAGGAGGGGGAGGGGTGTTTGATATTGATTATTTCTGATGGTTGAACACACTTTGTAAATCTGATTTTATTGCCAAGCTGTTCTTTGGTGAAGAACAAATGAGATATAACCTTTAAAATAAATTCAGTTTCTGGGACATTTGCCTGCTTGCACTAGATTTATTTTCTATTATGTCCATGACCCCTTTGGCATTCTTCCATTTATATTATGAAAACCAGTCATTGTCCCTAGATTTAATGGAAGTTCATTTCAGGAGGTGTCAGGGCTCATCATTGAAAATGCCAACTTTGGAGAAAGGTGATCTAAATATTTACTGCCTAAGCTGGTGCCTGAAACAGGTTCCAAAAATGTTCAAAAACATTGTTTCTTTCTCAAAAGTGGGCATTGATGACATGAATGTACCATTAACCGGCTATGATAATTTGAATCTAACATAACACCTGCCTATTATATGGCAGTTCAAATCCCATCAGGCTCAAGGTTGACTCACCCTTCCATCCTTCCGAGGTGGGTAAAACGAGGACCCAAATTGTTGGGGACAATATACTGACTCTGTAAACCACTTAGAGAGGGCTATAAAGCACTATAAAGCGATATGTAAGTCTAAGTGCTATTGCTATTGCTATAAAGCTATTTAATGTAGTTAAAAATTCTACCAAGGAATTTGAGAGATTCCTATCCAAATTAGAAGCCTGGAAGCAATTTTTCTATTAAATGTTCTTTAAAGACATTCATTCTATATACTAACATAGCCCAATGTACAATGTCTACAAGACTGTAGATTTTTAAGGTGAAAATCAGGTTATTTTGCAAGAAAAATATGCTTTATCAATGGCAAAGGTTTACTTTTATACTGTAATTCAAAGACTTGGGATTTTTAAAAGGAATTTTACTACATACTGGTACTTGAGAAATTTACAAAGGGTACCCTCTAGTGGTTCAATTAAAACTGACATGGGGAAAATAAAGGAAAAATAGCTTGCAAATTGGTGACTGTAATACATATGAACATAGGACAGATTTAATCTATCTGGAAGGAGCTAAAATATATGAGTGAGATTCTAGAATTTTCCTCTTACCATATTGATTCTTCTTATACATGTACTTCTGCTTTGTTCCCAGAATTAAAGTAAGCATTCTTCAATGAAAAATGATGGGGAACAAATTGCAAATTCTGAACGTGCAATGTTATTAAAATTGGGTCATTGTTTGAGAGCATGGGGATTCCTTTGGTAACATTTAAGTTAATAGAGTGCTTAAATCAATAACACACTAAAGTGGACTTGGGAATATTGAATCTAGTTTGGGTCATCGTGATAAAAAAAAGATGTTGAGAATCTAGAAAGAGTGCAGACAAGACCAACAGATATGATTAGGGGACTGGAGGCTAATCAGTATGAAGAACATTTGCAGGAACTGGGAATGTATAGTCTAGGAATAACATGATAGCAATCTTCCCATATTTGAGGGGCTGTCACTTTTCATAATTAAAATTATGCTGGAAGATGCTTCTTTATAGCATGTAGGTTTTTATTTAATTAATATATAAACAAATGCAATGGCAGTTCAAGGGTATATGGTGACCCTAAGGCACATTAACTAATGATGTAGTTTCCCAACAATGCAAAGTTTTGCATTTTTAGAATGATTTGAAAAAAACAATGACATTGGCACCCCTAAAGTTTTGTGTCCTAAATCAGTGCCTACTTCATCATCCATCAAAGCTGGTCCTAAACAGATGGATTAGGAAGCCTAGGAGATACAAGCATGTTAGGAATCACAGGCAGCATCTAGCATACATCAGTGTTAACAATTCTCTTATACTTGAGACAAAGAAGATTTCCCTCCAACTTTTGCTAGTTAACAACAAAGGCCTTTTGAAGGACTGCTGTGGGAAACAGAGCCAATTCTCAGTTCTAGGAACAGAATTAATCACTCCTTGCCTAATTAATCACTTCCTTGCCACATAAGTGGCAAGGAACAGAATTCCTTGGCCAACTGAATTTTGTAAAGAAAGCAAAGAAGGGCTACCTCTGTTGTGAAAAAGAATTCTGAAATTTCAATTTGCTTACGACACTCCAAAGGAATTCTCTGTATAATAGGATCATTGTTTTAGGGTTCTGTCATGTGAACAGTCTAATGCAGCGTTAGCCAGCCATTTGGGCACCAGGCACCAGTTTTGTGGAAGACAATTTTTCTTCCATGAAGTTGGATGGGGGATGGTTTTGGTTTCACTCATTCCCCCGCCACTCACTTCCAGTTATGTGGTCTGGTTTTAGGCCATGGATCAATAAATGGACCGTGGCCTGAGGGTTGGGGACCCTGACCTACTGTAGGCCATCCATAGTCACTTGTCTCTGGTGGCAGGTTATATAAATCAAGTGAATGTACAAATAATAATAATTAGATGATTCTTAGGAAATTCAGGTTAATCTTCTTGCTTGTCCACAGTGCATAATGGATGACTTTGAACCATTCATTCTGTTTAAATTCAGCTAAACTCACAGATTTGTAATGGGGGGAAAACTAGGAAAGGCTCCTAGACAGTGCCTGAAGTACTTCTCAGTCCAAAAGAGTAAGTTCAAAGAGCATTCATCTATTTTATTTTATTTTATTTATTTATTTTTGTCAATTGCTTACAAGATAATAGGTATAAGTAAAAACATAGTGATGAATACATGGATACATATAAGAAAAATAAAAAAAATAAAAGAAACAATAGGACAGGGACCGTAGGTACGTTGGTGCGCTTATGCACGCCTGAATATTATTTATTTATTTATTTAGTATACTATTTATTTATTTATTATATTTATTATTTATTTATAATATTTATTATTTATGCCAAGGATACTTTGTTTTCAATAGAAAACTGTGATCTGTTTATTCTTATACCTTCATGTCTCTTATATTTCTTCCTGAGGGGTGATTTATGATTTATTTTCCTGATTGTTTGTTCATCAATTTAAATATTCATCAAGGTTCCCGGTTCAATCCATTAAAACAAACGGGAAGCTGACATGCCTGATGAAAACTACCCCCAGATGACGGGTGATGGCTTTGATCTCAGAGTCTTCATGTCGGCTGCAAGTAATTGGCTCTGTGCTTTTCTCTCATCCTCCTGTCCTGGCATTTGAAAGCAGCACTGTGTTGTGCACTTGGAGATGACCCTTGTATATAAATGTAACCCCAGTTAGTTAAAAAAGGGGGGAAAGAAGGAAAAGAAAACATTTTCAGCTGAGAAAAGTCCTACAGCTCAGCATATCTATCTGGTTAAAGTTCACTAGTCAAAATTTTTCCTTTCATGATCTCAGTGTGTTAATGCAGGTGTTTCTTTACATGCCACACAGATGTGTAATAGCTGCAAGTAGAACTATTTACCTTGTAAAACCAGTACAGTGACTTTTTCAGGCAATCCTCAACTTACATTGGTAATTAGGACTGGAACTTCTGGTGCTAAGCAGAGGTGGTATTCAGCAAGTTCTGACCAGTTCTGGAGAACCGGTAGCGGAAATTGTGAGTAGTTTAGAGCAGGGGTCCCCAACCGCCGGTCCGCGGACCGGTACCGGTCCGCGGAACAAGTCTTACCGGGCCGCTGGTTGCTGGGCGCCGCCATCTTTTTTTGATAAAAAAGTGCTTCCGGGTAGAAAGCTCACCGGAAGCACTTTTTCATCAAAAAAAGATGGCGGCGCCCAGTTGATGCCGGTACCGGGCCGCGGCATAAAAAAGGTTGGGGATCACTGGTTTAGAGAACCAGCAAATACCACCTCTGACTGGCCCCGCCCCATCTATTCTCTGCCTCCCGAGTCCCAGCTGATTGACTGAGTCTTCTTTTGTTGCCCTGCGAGAACAGAGCTGGAAAACAGGTTACTGGAGCGGGGAGGGAATGGAGATTTTGCAATAATCTTCTCCCAGGAGTGGTGAGAGAATGGAAAATTTACAGTATCCTCTCCCTGCCACGCCCACCAAGCTACGCCCACAGAACCGGTAGTAAAAATTTTTGAATCCCACTACTGGCACTAAGTAATGTGGTTGTAAAGCATGAAGTCATGTGACAATTAGTTATGGAAATCCCAGCATTCTCTTTCATCATTGTTAAACGAATTCCACTGTTCGTAGCTGAGAATCACCTCAAGCCAGTTATTCTGGGCTTGGTCCCTTACAGACCTATGCCTTGGTTTTTTTCAAGGTAAGGGATTGCCGTCCTTCAGCTACACCCAAAAGCCTATTCCCCATCTATGTCCTTTTGCAGTGGTGGGATTCAGCCAGTTCGCACCAGTTTGGGAGAACCAGTTGTTAACTTTCTGGGCAGATTGTTGAACTGGTTGTTGGAAGAAATCATTAGAGCAGAGAACCAGTTTTTAAATTATTTAAATCCTACCTTTTGGGTTCCCTGCAC